CCAGTGTGTGGATGGGTTAGGACGTATTTGACACCAGTGTGTGGATGGGTTAGGACGTATTTGACACCAGTGTGTGGATGGGTTAGGACGTATTTGACACCAGTGTGTGGATGGGTTAGGACGTATTTGACACCAGTGTGTGGATGGGTTAGGACGTATTTGACACCAGTGTGTGGATGGGTTAGGACATATTTGACACCAGTGTGTGGATGGGTTAGGACATATTTGACACCAGTGTGTGGATGGGTTAGGACATATTTGACACCAGTGTGTGGATGGGTTAGGACATATTTGACACCAGTGTGTGGATGGGTTAGGACATATTTGACACCAGTGTGTGGATGGGTTAGGACATATTTGACACCAGTGTGTGGATGGGTTAGGACATATTTGACACCAGTGTGTGGATGGGTTAGGACATATTTGACACCAGTGTATGGATGGGTTAGGACATATTTGACACCAGTGTATGGATGGGTTAGGACTTATATGACATCATTGTATGAATGGGTTAAGACATATTTGACACCAGTGTATGGATGGGTTAGGACGTATTTGACATCATTGTATGAATGGGTTAAGACATATTTGACACCAGTGTATGGATGGGTTAGGACATATTTGACATCATTCTATGAATGGGTTAGGACATATTAAACCAGTGTATGAATGGCTTAGGACATAATTGAGAGCGTTGTTTTTATAGGGTAGGACATTTTTTAACATATGTCTATGCCTAGGTTAGGACATATTTGACCCCCGTGTATTCCTACGTTAAGACAGTATTTGATCAACCCCCGTGTATTCTTAGGTTAAGACAGTATTTGACCCCCCATGTATTCCTAGGTTAAGACAGTATTTGACCTCCATGTATTCCTAGGTTAAGACAGTATTGGACCCCCGTGTATTCCTAGGTTAAGACAGTATTTGACCCCCATGTATTCCTAGGTTAAGACAGTATTTGATCATCCCCCGTGTATTCCTACGTTAAGACAGTATTTGATCAACCCCCGTGTATTCCTAGGTTAAGACAGTATTTGACCCCGTGTATTCCTAGGTTAAGACAGTATTTGACCCCCGTGTATTCCTAGGTTAAGACAGTATTTGACCCCCGTGTATTCCTAGGTTAAGACAGTATTTGACCCCGTGTATTCCTAGGTTAAGACAGTATTTGATCATCCCCCGTGTATTCCTATGTTAAGACAGTATTTGATCAACCCCCGTGTATTCCTAGGTTAAGACAATATTTGACCCCCGTGTATTCCTAGGTTAAGGCAGTATTTGACTCCCGTGTATTCCAAGGTTACGACAGTATTTGACCCCCGTGTATTCCTAGGTTAAGACAGTATTTGACCCCCGTGTATTCCTAGGTTAAGACAGTATTTGACGCCCGTGTATTCCTAGGTTAAGACAGTATTTGACCCCCGTGTATTCCTAGGTTAAGGCAGTATTCGACCCCCGTGTATTCCTAGGTTAAGACAGTATTTGACCCCCGTGTATTCCTAGGTTAAGGCAGTATTTGACGCCCGTGTATTCCTAGGTTAAGACAGTATTTGACGCCCGTGTATTCCTAGGTTAATTCAGTATTTGACGCCCGTGTATTCCTAGGTTACGGCAGTATTTGACCCCCGTGTATTCCTAGGTTAAGGCAGTATTTGACGCCCGTGTATTCCTAGGTTAAGGCAGTATTTGACCCCCGTGTATTCCTAGGTTAAGGCAGTATTTGACTCCCGTGTATTCCTAGGTTAAGGCAGTATTTGACCCCCCTGTATTCCTAGGTTAAGCCAGTTTTTGACACCCGTGTATTCCTAGGTTAAGACAGTATTTGACCCCCCTGTATTCCTAGGTTAAGACAGTATTTGACCCCCGTGTATTCCTAGGTTAAGACAATATTTGACCCCCGTGTATTCCTAGGTTAAGGCAGTATTTGACTCCCGTGTATTCCAAGGTTACGACTGTATTTGACCCCCGTGTATTCCTAGGTTAAGACAGTATTTGACCACCGTGTATTCCTAGGTTAAGGCAGTATTTGACCACCGTGTATTCCTAGGTTAAGGCAGTATTTGACTCCCGTGTATTCCTAGGTTAAGACAGTATTTGACGCCCGTGTATTCCTAGGTTAAGACAGTATTTGACCCCCGTGTATTCCTAGGTTAAGACAGTATTTGACCCTCGTGTATTCCTAGGTTAAGACAGTATTTGACTCCCGTGTATTCCTAGGTTAAGACAGTATTTGACTCCCGTGTATTCCTAGGTTAAGACAGTATTTGAAGGATTTGTTTAGAAAATGCGATGCGGATCACCAACGCTTTTTAAAAAAAAAAATGAAAATTTAATAAAATTCAAGGGAAAGAATACAAAGTAAATAATATTCATGGTTATTTTCGGTGCATTATTTCCCTTTTATTATCTTACTCCTCACGGCAAATCTCTCGTAATAAAATAAAGCCGGCAAATTATACGGTCCACATATGTAGCCTGCCAGCACCCACTTTGCGGCCCGCGAAATAAATGAATGTTCTTTTATATTAATATTGTCTTCATAGCTTTCTCCTCTGTCCTTTTTTTCTTTCGGCCCGCAAAAGTTTTTCAGCATTACGGCCCGCCTTACATTTTGGGCTGTGCCGGCCTGCAATAAAGCATACAACTTTGACCACAACATTAATGATTAAATATGGGTCACCAAACTTTGACCGTCCACATTAATTTTTTAATATGGGTTTGTGAAAATTTAACCGTCCACATTAAATATTGGCTAAATAAACTTTTACCGTCCACATTAAATATGGGCTCAATAAACTTTTACCGTCCACATTAAATTATATGGGCTAAATAAATTTTGAACATTAATGGGCTCAAATAAATTTTGACCGTCCACATTAAATATGGGCTCAATAAACTTTTACCGTCCACATTAAATATGGGCTAAATAAATTTTGAACATTAATGGGCTCAAATAAATTTTGACCGTCCACATTAAATATGGGCTCAATAAACTTTGAGCGTCCACATTAAATATGGGCTCAATAAAATTTTACTGTCCACATTAAATATGAGCTCAATAAACTTTGACCGTCCACATTAAATATGGGCTCAATAAACTTTGACCGTCCACATTAAATATGGGCTCAGAAAACTTTGACCGTCCACATTAAATATGGGCTCAGAAAACTTTGACCGTCCACATTAAATATGGGCTCAGAAAAATTTGACCGTCCACATTAAATATGCGCTCAGAAAACTTTGACCGTCCACATTAAATATGGGCTCAGAAAACTTTGACCGTCCACATTAAATATGGGCTCAGAAAACTTTGACCGTCCACATTAAATATGGCCTCAATAAACTTTGACCGCCCACATTAAATATGGGCTCAGAAAACTTTGACCGTCCACATTAAATATGGGCTCAATAAACTTTGACCGTCCACATTAAATATGGCCTCAATAAACTTTGACCGCCCACATTAAATATGCGATCGTGGAAAAAGATGTTAAATTATTGTTTTGAAATCTATGTTTTTACTGTGCCTCCATTTTCCACAAGCTGATCAACCCGAGTGACGTGACAAATAAAGAATACCGTAGTTAAAGAAATAAATGCACCATGTTGGCTTAACGTGTCAATCCCTTGTAAGATTGTCGCTATAATCATGTTTGAAACGGATAGACTGGCTAGGATTATTAATTTGACACCAACAAGCTGTGTAAATAAAACAACATATGTTCTGCTTTAATTATGATCATACACAATACAAATGTAAACGTTTCGGCAAATGCCCTCATGAGTGCAAAAAAAAAAAAAAAATCATATAAGTATACATTAAATTTACATAAATATATATTTCCTCCATTTAAAGAAAAAAGTGCCAACAGGTTGCATGTAATATATTCAGGGCCACTGAGAGGATTTTTAAGTGCTGGAACAAGGGAAAAAATTCCCCCCTCCCCCAACCTCACCCACCAATGAACACATATATCAATGATGTCATCATAATTTATTAATTGCATTCAAAAATGCTTACAAAAATATTAAAAAGAGGACATGTACATTGGTAAAAGATAATAAAAACAATACTCCACATCAGTATGTAAACAAAAATGAAACAATAGACATAATCAATGAATTTAAAACTAGATTGGTTACAAGCTTATAATAGTTAATGCTAATAAAGGGAGAGACTGAAATCATGTTAGCAAAATAGGAAATGTTTTAAAAGAAAGTAAGGTCAAGCCTGAAAAAAGAAACGCAACATAACAACAAACGTATCGACAGGAAGCCTTCGTCAGCGAATATAAGACAAAGCTCCTTTGATCTCTGTTCTTGTTTTGACAGGTTCAACTCCAAGATGTTTGCTACTGCTAATTTGAAGCCCATCTTGGTCATGTTTTTTCCACCACTTAAAATTCCAAATGTTATAATACTTTCCGGGGGGGTGGGGGAGAGAGACAAGTTATCTATATTATTGGGAAATGCTTTAGGAAAGCCAGGATTACATTTAATAACAAGGCTGTTTAATGAGTTATCTATATTATTGGGAAATGCTTTAGGAAAGCCAGGATTACATTTAATAACAAGGCTGTTTAATGATTTCAAATATTTTCAGACAAGGCTGCACGACCGCTTTGCTATACACACCAAGTATAGAGCACGAAGTATCTATCCAATAATGTTGTTCTCTTTAAAAATTAGGTTTTGTAAAAAAAAATAATAGGTTCACTTCATGGGCCCCCTTTGAACTCATTGGACCCCCAAAACAATTTTGTTTGAGGGGGGGAGGGGGTGGGGGGTGTGGTTTATTTTATTTGGTTTGGTTTTTCAATTTTTTTCAATTTTTTTTTGTCCTTCAAAAAAGGCGTTTTGTTAGGTCCAACCTGTGTTTATTAGATCCCCAGGACCTGTACACACTTGCAGATTTACATGTGCGTGCTAACAGTCAAGACATCCTTGCAGACGACATAAAATTTATAGAGGGCACTCAAAGGCGTCGCAGCATTACCCGGGCTCACGCCACCGTAGATATAGACGGACGCCCCGGGGCAGGTAGGGGTGTACTGCAAACACCAAACGTCGGAGTCACGGTCTCCGGCCGACTCCCTCCTCATCGAAAGTCCATCGACCTTGACCCTGGTCAGCAGCGTCGACTTGAGTCTTATCAGGACGGGTTCGTTGAGAGCCAGCTCACCAACCAGGGGCTCCAGAAGCAGACAGCGATAGCCCTGGGCGGTTGGAAAAATTTTTGGAAACGACGCTGTCACCATGGAAGTATTCTGGGAATGGATGAGAAAGTCGGCGACGTTGGTGTACGAGCTGCTTGCGTCATCTGTGACGTCATACCTCTGCGCCAGAAGACTGAGACGGTGGAACCCCCTCTCTGAAAACCTCGCTCTTATGTGAACCACGCCCTCGGTGTATTGATTTAAAGTCATCTGGCCGTCATGACCGCCACCGTCACTCGTGACTTCCCGATCGACACCCTCGCGTGTGAGGGTCACCGAAGAGCGTGAGCTGACGAAACGCGTGGTGGGCAGTTTGATGTACACCTCCCCACTGCGACACGCCAGCACGTCGAATCGGAAAATCCTGTCCGAGAATCCGCAGCCAAGGGCCTGCGGGCTAGCTCCCCACGCGCCCGAGTGTTCTGGAAGTGGGACGAATCCTTGTTCCACGGTGATCACGGTGATGTAATAGTTCACCAGAAGGTGGAAGGAATCATCGATCGCGTTCCTCGCCTGACCCGAGACGCTGAGTTTGAACTCGCCCTTGACCTTGGGTTTGACGACGACCCGGAACGAGTTTTTCCCGCCTCGTGTGCACAGTATGCAATGTTTCTGCTTGAAACCGGAAGTTCTCTCCCTCAGCACGGCAGCCATGTTTTGAAGCTGCTCGGAACGGAAGGAGAACGTCTCACATTTTGTCACCGATACTTGCGCCATCGGATGCGAGGTCAACTCGAGGGCTGTTTCTTGGGCGAAGACAGAAAGGATCGCCCGACAAGAAAACTGGCTGTACGGCTCTGGTATCGCCAACATTTGCAGTCCTTCTTGAACCTGGTACAAAGATTAGGTCAAAGGTCAGAAATAAAATCACCAGCTTCGTGTCCTTTAACGCCCATTATTGTTATTTCCTTTCATTTTATTCTTAACTAAGATTTAAATTATTTTTTTTTAATTTATTGTTTCCTTTTTTTGTGTGCGTGTATGGAATCAATTGAAATCAGTTGATAGAATGTAATGAAAGACAGAAAATTTCAAAATAGCATCACTTATTCAAAACGATCAAATCCTAATTGATGGTTTGTATCCTTCCATTGTTAATTGAACATAATTTCAAGTAAGCAGCTATTTTCCCTACGATATTTTCAAATGCTTAATGCAGTATGTTTTATTATTATTTATTTTTTATTTTTATTTATATTCTTTTTTGTTTTAAATATACATCTTAAGTAATGTGTTTTCACGTTCTTCAGTGGGGAATTTTTTCCCGCAAGATGCCGTATTGACAAAATATACGATTTAAAAGTTTAATTGTTTTATAATATAAAAATTACATTTCCCAAATTAATAAATGTGCCTGAGTCGCATTGGGCCAACCCAAACTTGCCTGTCGAATAAAACACAAAATCAATGAGTGTCTTCTTGGAAGTGATTTAGAAAGTAATTAGCTGAAAGCTCCCAATCGCTGAAATATAAATGGACATGCGGTAATCGCCACCCAACAGTCTTCATGTCATGGCAAGTCAGATAAATCCCCCCCCCCACTATACCCACCCCCTTAATACATAATGACATGCTGAAAGGGTTGTTGATCTCACTGTACCTCCATAGACGAGTTACTGGGTGAGTTGACGCTCTTGGGGATGTCTTTGACCATTAGGCTGGACATGCTCATCGGAAAGTGGGTCATGATGAAATCTTCGGGGTCGGTGAGAAAGAAAAACTCCAGAACCCCTGAGCGGCTCATCGAATCCTCTTCCAGATACGCCCCGGCGAGAGCGCAGTCGACAAAGCGCCATTCTTCCTTTGACGAAGTAAAAAAATGTTGGTAACTTAAACAAAATATTTGTTTCAATCGTTTGGCAAAGAGCTTAATAAATACAGTTGCTATTTGAACTTTTAATTTAATTTTTTTAATAAAATTATTTAGTGGTACAGTTGAACCTCCGGATAACAACGGCCCCGGTTAAAAGACCAACTGCGGATTAACGAGCGATTTCGTGAGCGAGCAAGGTGGTCGAAAAAAATGTGTCCCAGTTAACTAACATACGCATATTTCATTACCACAGACCCGCAGTATCAGTGCACACAATACCACTTTATCGCTAAACACAATCCCACCGTATCAGCACACACAATCCACCGGCCCATTACACGCAATCCCACTGTATCAGTAGTCACAATCCCACTGTCTCAGTACACACAATCCCACTGTCTCAGAACACACAACCACATTGTCTCAGTACACACAATCCCACTGTATCAGTACACACAATCCCACTGTCTAAGTACACACAATCCCACTGTATCAGTACACATAATCCCGCCGTATCAGTACACACAATCCCACCGTATCAGTACACACAATCCCACCGTATCAGTACACACAATCCCACCGTATCAGTACACACAATCCCACCGTATCAGTACACACAATCCCACCGTATCAGTACACACAATCCCACCGTATCAGTACACACAATCCCACCGTATCAGTACACACAATCCCACCGTATCAGTACACACAATCCCACTGTATCAGTACACACAATCCCACCGTATCAGTACACACAATCCTACCGTATCAGTACACACAATCCCACTGTATCAGTACACATAATCCCACTGTATCAGTACACACAATCCCACCGTATCAGTACACACAATCCCACCGTATCAGTACACACAATCCCACTGTATCAGTACACACAATCCCACCGTATCAGTACACACAATCCCACCGTATCAGTACACATAATCCCACCGTATCAGTACACACAATCCCACCGTATCAGTACACACAATCCCACCGTATCAGTACACACTAATTTCCCCGAAGAAGTGGAATTCATAGTGTTGTTCAGATTTTTTAAAAATTAATTATAGAGCAACATTTAAAAATGTTAAAAATACCATCCATATTTATACCATCCTTATTTCTACAATCCTTATTTCTACCATCCATATTTCTACCATTCATATTTCTTCCATCCTTATTTCTACCATCCATATTTCTACCATCCATAGTTTTACCATCCTTATTTCTCCCATCCTTAATTCTACCCCCCCCCTTATTTCTCCCATTCTTATTTCTACCATCCTTATTTCTACCATCCATATTTTTAAAATCCTTGTTTCTACCATCCTTATTTCTACCATCATATTTCTAATGCTACAACAGATTAATTGAACTGACATTGATTTCAAAGGGAAAAATTATTTCGATTAGCGAACGTTTCAGTTTGAAAAGACGGAGTCGCGGAACGAAGTTCGTTAACCGAGGTTCCACTGTCTTTTAATTCATGAATATCAAAAAGAAAAAAAAAATTACTGAACCTTTTATCAATTACAATTCATTATGCTGTTCAACCTATAGTTTTGCTGGTTTATTTAAGTAATTTGTGGCGGGCTCCTCCTAGTTTCCTAATGAAAACAAAAAAATGGAAAAAACCACACACAAAAACCAATCTTACTTGAACTAACACAAGACACCACACGTGATTGGCTGTTGGGGTGTCGTGGCAGAGCTCCAACGGTGACTGGCCCACAGTCCTCACAACACCAGTTACACACACGCAGGGTATGCTCAAATGTCTACGTCAAAGAGGCGAGCAATTCAAAATGTTGATTGCTTTTTTTTTTTTTATTAAAGGTTTTCGTGCGTTTGGTGTGTACACTTTGTCGCGTCTGGGGTGCAGAGTTCGCCAACCGTACGCAAAAATAGATACACAGTCATAGCAAAATTGTCATACGGATATTTGAAGGGAAACAAAATGATCACGTTTTCAAAACAAGTCTATTTCAAAAATTGACTCCGTAAACTTTGTTTGTTTGTTTGGGTGGGATTTAGACTATTTATCAGTCAATTTGATTTTATTGTGGTGACGACCCTGTTGGGGCGAGATGGTCCAATAATTAGTTTAAATTACACTCACCAAAGCCATGGTGCATAGACCAATATGTGTATGTAGCAATGCGTGTTTATATAAATACGGATACCGTATATATAATTAGACTACGTGCATATATCAATGCAGCTGTGCATAATGCTGGAGAGCATAATCTTTTAATATTTTTTAAATATCGCTTTAACAAAAAAAAAATCATTAAGTGACCAAACTAACCGGAAAATGATCCATTTATATTTAAGCGGATTAAAGATCTAATCATAATTCTCCATGCATACTTCAGTGGTTCAAAGATCTAATCATAATGTTCCATGCATACTTCAGTGGATGGAAGATCTAATCATAATGTCCCATGTATACCTAAGTTGATTAAATATTAAATCATACATTTCTAGTTATTTTAATATTATGTTTCTTGAAACTCGGCCTCTATTATGATGAATTGCGATCAAATCCGGTACTGGAAGTGAGTATTCGATTAAAAAAGTGTCACTGGGAGGCTGGGAGAGGCCCGAGTAAGGTGTCGTTTAAAGGCTCAAGAGTAATCTTTTAAAAGTCAGAAATATCTGATTTGTTCAGGAAACTAAAATACTATTAAAGATTATAGTTGGGGAAAGAAATAAATCATAATTTATAAATAGACGATTTGTATTAATTATCCCAGCCAAATTTAGTTAATTATCCCAGACAAAGGTAGTTAATTATCCCAGCCAAATTTAGTTAATTATCCCAGACAAAGGTAGTTAATTATCCCAGACAAAGGTAGTTAATTATCCCAGACAAAGGTAGTTAATTATCCCAGACAAAGGTAGTTAATTATCCCAGACAAAGGTAGTTAATTATCCCAGACAAATTATCCCAGCCAAAATTAGTTAATTATCCCAGCCAAATTTAGTTAATTATCCCAGCCAAAGGTAGTTAATTATCCCAGCCAAAGGTAGTTAATTATCCCAGCCAAAATTAGTTAATTATCCCAGACAAAGGTAGTTAATTATCCCAGACAAAGGTAGTTAATTATCCCAGCCAAAGGTAGTTAATTATCCCAGCCAAAGGTAGTTAATTATCCCAGCCAAAGGTAGTTAATTATCCCAGCCAAAGGTAGTTAATAATCCCATAAAAAATCAAGATCCCATGTGAAAGTAATGCCTGTGATTAATGACCTCCCGCCCACATGTGATAGGGCCGAGTGATGATTGGGAGATTGTTGATTATGTTGATGATAATGTTGATAGTAATGTTGGTGGTAATGTTGATGATTATCTTGATGGTTATGTTGATGGTTATGTTGATGGTAATGTTGATGGTAATTTTGATGGTAATGTTGGTGATTATGTTGATGATAATTTTATGATAATGTTGATGATAATATTGATAATAATATTGATGGTAATTTTGATAATTATGTTGATGATAATGTTGATGATAATGTTGATGGTAATGTTGATGATAATGTTGAGGTTAGTGTTTTTTAATGTTTATGGTATTGCTGATGATAATGTTGATGGTAATGTTGATGTAATGTTGATGATAATGTTGATGATAATGTTGATGGCATGAAATTCAGTTCTCAACTCACTGACAAAAATGATGAAACAACAAGTTGATGTCCGTTAGTGAACCTTGTTTTGCATTCAGCACTTTCTGGGGGTCAAATTTAGACGAGTCCACTAAGGACACGGGACTTCCATCATACCTATAAATAGAACATGATCCTATTAAGCCCATTATATTTCAGCCCATTATATTAAAGCCCATTAAAGTATTCAAATAAAGTCAAACAAATGTAAAATCACACTTTTTTAAAATTGTATTCTGTATTCCAGGATCTAACAAGAATAATAATTGAATGTTAAAATGTTACCATAAATTGAGTCTATCGATGAACATCTTTGACACTTTCGGTTAAAAGTAAGATCTATTTCAATATTGGAATTTGATAATCGAGGATCCATCCAATTTTTAAAAAAAAAAAATTTCGCCATATCGGTGGTGTAACTAGAGGGGGGTGCGGACCGCAGCTGGTGACACCCTAACAGGGGATGGCACCAAATAGAAAATGCAAATTTGACAGAGTTCGCTCCGGTCATCAGAGCAGAGTGGCACCAGAGCAGGCTTCCAACAGAAAAGGGTGCCAAATAGCAAGGCTCCACCAGAGCAGGGTAACCGGACAGAGCAGGGTGGCATCAAAGAAGGTTGCAAACAGACCAGGGTGCCAAAGGAGAAAGATTCCAACACAATCGAGCAGGCTGCCACCAAAGCTGGCCACCTGGGGAGTGGGGGGGGGGTTTCGTGGGGGGTGGAGAGGGATGGAGAGAGGGAAAGAGAGAGGGGGGATTGTGGGAGAGAGGGAAGGAGCGAGGGAGGGAGAGAATGAGGGAGGGAGTGAGAGAATGAGTGAAGGAAGTAGAGAATGAGCTGGCAAGCTGGTGTGAGTTGGACACATCGTTAAGTTTTCCTGGGAACAGGCGAGGGTTCACTTATTTGCTGTTCTTGGCATATGACGATGCCAACGATGGCAGTGTTCTAATGACGCAATCTACACCCACCGGCTGTCGTCTGCTCACCTGATGTT